ATCTGCAAGCCTTGACTCTTCCTCCACCCAAAAACATAACAAATCCAAGAAGGCTAACTTTGGTTATCTGAATCACATTTAGTCAATGAAAAACAGGAGAATCCTGGCAGAGCATGGCGGCTCATGCCTGTAATCCCAGCACTTTGGGAGGCCAAAGTGAGCGGATCACCTGAGGTCAGGAGCTCGAGACCAGCCTGGGCAACATGGCAAAACTCTGTTTCCACTAAAATTACAAAAATTAGTTGGGCATGGTGGTACACACGTGTAATTCCAGCTACTTGGGAGGCTGAGGTGGGAGAATCGCTTGAACCTGGTAGGCAGAAGTTGCAGTAAGCCAAGATCGTGCCACTGCACTCTAAGCTGGGTGACAGAGCAAGATTCCGACTCAAAAAAAAAAAAAAGGAAAATCCAGTTAGACAGACAAAATATTTTATTTTTAAGTGTCTTCAAAGAATCAATTTCTTAGTAAAAATTACATATATTTAAATCTATAGCCATATTGCACAAGACTGTAAAACATTATTAGGCTGCAAATATTACAGGCAGCTATATATGTTTAGACAGTATGCAAAAAGAAATAAAAATATTTTTAAAAACATGCAAAATATTTCAGGTTGTAAAAAGTTTAAAATATTTCCCGGACAGATAACTACTCTTTGGATTCTTACCCTACTACTCTACTTGTCTTAGCATACTATTACATTAAATGGAGTTCATTCACTGATTCATCTGTTTAGTAGAGATTTCTTCATAACTATAAACTTTTGAGAATTGCACTTATGCAACCTTGTATGTTCAGTACCTAGCAATAAATTTCTTAGTAAATTATTCATAGAAAGATATTGTAGAACATTAACAGGAAATCAATACATAACATCAGTTAGTTGATCAAACAAGTTGAGGCTGGGCACAATGGCTCATGCCTGTAATCCCAGCACTTTGGGAGGCCAAGTCGGGTGGATCACTTGAGGTCAGGAGTTCAAGACTAGCCTGGCCAACATGGTGAAACCCCGTCTCTACCAAAAATACAAAAATTAGCCAGGTGTCGTGGTGTGTGCCTGTAGTCCTAGCTACTAGGGAGGCTGAAGCAGGAGAATCACTTTGAACCCAGGAGGCAGATGCAGTGAGCCAAGATCGTGGCACTGCCCTCCAGCCTGGACAACAAGAGTGAAACTCCTTCTCAGAAAAAAAAAAAAAAAAGAAGTTGAAAGGTGTTTAATAAATTCAAATGACCTCTATAATAATGCAAGCAATTATGATTTATAGAAAAAATCAAGCAGTGATTAATTATAAAAAAAGAAAAAAATTCTACCCCTTTATAATTACTCAATGGGAATACTATCTCTGCTTTATAATTAAAAGCCTATCATATAATCAATCCAAAAATTGGGGAGGAAAAAGAAAAAATATCTGTGGCTCTTGCATCATAAGATTATTGTCATAAAATGCTTTTAGACATCAAGCAGAAGTAAGGTAACCTATACAGGCATTCTGAGCTTCTGGGAAGCAATGATACCTTGGCCACTAAAGAAAGCCTAAGCCAGTGAACTTTCATGGCATTCTAAAATGAGTTCTTATCACGAAATGTCATGTGCTTCATTATACAATCTTAGCTCTTTGTGAGCATGTTATGACTATGGCCAAAGTAAAGGAAAACAGGAGTGTCTCTAAATCAATCACGGGCCATGAAGCCAGACAGACTGTATGACAGATGCGATTTTTCTTGGCACCACTTGGGCGTAACTAATTGATGACAATCATATGTCCACACTGGCACATTTCCACAGGGAATGTGTGTGAATACGTCACCACATCTGGATGCTAGGCATGCTGGGGTCCTGAGGCACAAAGACCTACTAACTCCAGAGGCCCAGCAGCTGTACTCAATGAACACCGTGGGAGCTCCACAGAGTGATGAAAGGACTAAATTACTGCACACTGTAAATACAGATTTATTTCATTAAAATACGAGGTAACTGCTGCAGCCATCTCTTGTTCAAATAGACGTTTGCCCCTTTAAAAAAAAGGAAAAAGCTAGCATCTAACTTTGTAAAGAATATTTGCATTTCTCCTGTGAAAAGATAAGCTACACACAAAGCAAAATCACAAAAGTTTCTACAAGTCTCTTTTAATAAAAAAAAAATTAACACAGAAAAATATGATGATCTACTGTCATCATTTTAGCAAAAATAGTCCTCTTCCATTTAATTCAAATGGAAGATTTACACAATTTGTTACAAATTTCATGTTGAAAATTCAACATACTATAGTAAAAAAAACACTATGATATATTAATATATAATTTCACCTTTAATATGAAAGATGACTATAAATAACTTACAAATAGAGACTGAATTAAAATCTTATTCTGATCCCACATAATAATTTATAAAATTATTTGAACTATGTTAACAATTACGTGAAGCATGCAAAGCTTTCTCATGAAAAGTCCTATTCACAAAATTACTTCAATAAAAAATGTAGAACTGAAAAACTATTCATATATGTATAATCAAATATTTCTCATAAACCTTTCATCAAGTAATTACTTTTCCCAAGCAGTGTGACAGAAATCATTCTACAACAGAAGTTTATATCATGTCCTCTTAGATAAAATTCTAATTTTAATCAGATCAGAAACAAAAAAATTCATTTGTCTTATCTCTTTTCTTTTCAGATCATTTTTCCCCATCTCTCTTATTTCCTCTGACATTTCCCTTAGGGTCCTGCCCCTTCAAGCTGCACTACAGTCATGATGCTCTTCACTCCACATCCACCTATCTAACACTGGACTGACTTTCCAAGACGTCTAGTTAACCTAGGCTTATCAACGGGTAACAAGAGAGATATGTCAAATTAATCCTTCCCTTGCCTAAGAATAAGACATGAAAGGCATCTTTCTTTCTCTATTATGATTGCCACTCATCTCCTAAACATTTATGTGGTTAAAGAGGGCATTACGAATACATTAGACTTTTTCACATGTGGACTGAATAGAGAAAACAATTTCATTTTAGGAATATCATAAAACGTTGTTTAACACATCCTTTTTCCTTGCAGGCCTACAAATGCCATCAGTAGCAAAATGATGACTTTAAAAAAGCACAGCTTAATATCCTGTGTAAAAAATGGAATACATAACTAAAAAAAAAAAAAGTAGACTTCTTATGTAAAAATTTTAAAATAAGATCAATGACTTTTCTCATCTTCTATCTTCAATTCATCTAAGATTATCAGTAAACATGAAAATCATATCACAGATATGCTGGTGCCACCACAAAATGGTATTTTGATTCTATATATTCGACAAAGACAAACTACAGATTGGAGGAAGGAGTGGAGAAGGAGTGAGAGAAGAAAGGAAGTGTAGGAAAGAAGGAAAGGAAGAAATTAAGCACAGCTGACATAACTGCTGACACTGACACAATTTAGGTAGCCCCCTGATTTCATCATCTAAGTTTCTTTTACCACTGCTAGTAGCTGGGGCATTCCAGCCAGAGATTAGGACTCTGCATCCAGTCCAGCACAAGTTGTCTGACTGTACAATGTTTGGCTTATTTTCTCATCATCTGTCTCCAGACAAAAGCATAAGGTTGATGTCTAAACCTTTTATGAACAGAAATTAACAGCTTTGTCCACATACATTAACGCCCTAGTAAACAAACTAATTCTATTTAATGAATTACCTTGTTTCTCTGACTTACAGTGTCACATCAATGCAACTACTAGTGAACCAGCCACCCCACAAAATGGGCAGCAGTTGTCCTACCAGAGGTAACTGCAAAGGCTCTCTGACTCTTAAATAACGTCAGAGTTCCAGAATGGGGACCCAAAGGTGAGCAGGACAGATGCAAAGTACCTTGAGGGTCACCAAGTTCATCACTCAATGGCCGTATTTGTACGTTCCTCAAACCCTTTATCCAACGTCATGGAGAATAAGCTAGGACCGCAGAGTCCTCAACTTTGCCATTCTGCTTAATATCCTCCTAAGAGCAGGCCAATGCCCAAATGGCAAGTGGCAGGAACAGCTGCTGCTCCAATTTATATTTCAAAATGCGTATAGCCTTATAAAAAGAACACTTTCAGCAGTCTTTTCCACCCTGAGCATATGAGAGCTAAGTCAACAAAACAGTAATCAGCGCACAGGTTTATTATTTGGTCTTGCTCTTCAAGGCCTCTCTTTTAAGACCTTTTGTTTTTCTTCAGTGTGACTGGAAACCAAGAAGATACAACTTGATACAGTTAAAATGCTTTGCTTGACCTCTTTCCTCAAATCAAACCACAGAGAAACAAGGTTTCTGATTTCCCCATTAATAAACATCCAGGAATTTGGAATGACAAAATTTCCTTTTCTAAAATGAGTCTACAATATTTAGAGTTGATGCTAATCCAGGGACAGCAAAAACTAAATAGTACAGCTAAGACTATTAAAGGGCTTGTTCGTTAACAACTTAACCTCTTTACCTAGGATTATATATGTAAAACCCCACTTTAAGAAACAGTCATCTTTTTCAGAAACCATCTACAGCTGACCCTTGAACAACATGGGTTTGAGGTGCGAGTGTCAACTTATCCACAGATTTTCTTCTGCCACTGCCACTCATGAGAGCAAGATCAGCTCCTCTTCCTCCTTCTCATGTCAATCAACATAAAGACAAGGATGAAGAGCTTTATGATGATCTACTTCCACTTAATGAATAGTAAATATATTTTCTCTTCCTCATGATTTTTTTAGTAACATTTTCCTTTCTCTAGCATTTAATACACATAAAAAATATGTTAATTGATACAGATTTTGTTCATGTTATCAGTAAGCATTCTGATTAGTAGTAGGCCATTAGTAAGTGAGTTTTTGGGGAGTCAAAAGTTACCTATGGATGTTTAACTGTATGGGGGTGTCAGTGCCCCAACCCCTACATTGTTCAAGGGTCCACAGTATTTCCTTTTCTCCACCCACACATCTTACATGCACTGCAGGCCTCTCCACTGCAAACACTTACCTGACTTTTTTGCCTTGCTCAGTGAGCATCTTTACCAAATCAGCGATAGGATATTGAGCTTTGGCTGCACAGAGACCATATCCTGCAAGGAACATTAAGAACACAGAAGAATGTGTTTTTTTATTTTGATATTACATGAAGTACAACTTCTCTCTTGATCAACACACATGTTTATGCCAACAGAGGCAATCATATATCAGACTAGAAATGAAAGCAAACTTATAAGATGACCTTTTAAAAATATTGTCCTAAATTTGAAATTGAAAATGTAATGATTGCTCCTCAATCTTCTGTAGTATCTGATGCTGCACCCCCGCCCCCTACACTGCACACACCCTTGGGTGTTTCCTCTCTTGTCTCTTTCTCTTTCTCTCTCTCTCTCTTTCATGTTTTTAATCTCTCTTCATACTTGGCTTTGATGACACTGCAGACCCCAGTCCCAGCATAACTTTGTTATTATTCTTCCTCTAGTTCCTCGAATAGTTTTTCTCCTTCTTTTCTCCCTTTATATGACAAAGCTTCCCACAGGGCTTTAACTTTGAACCCACACACTATCCTTGAAAATCTGAGCTCATCTCAAGGCTTCAACAACCATCTGATGATTCTCAATCTGTCTGCGGGCTCAATCTGTCATTTGAGCCCCAGTACAACATGCCTCTTGTCTCATCTCTACCTCAAATTTAATGTCTCAAGAAAAGAACTCAAAATTTCTCCCCACACACTCCAAAAAGATGTTTCCATATTTCTAATGTTATTACAGGTATAACCAAGAACTTCAGTCATCTTCACTCCCCTTTCTGTCCATTCTAGCTCAACAATGTATCTCACATCTGTCCCTAGTTTTCTATCCCTGTTTTTTCAAATGCCAAGTCTCTACTCAAGCTATTCCCACTGGCTTCTCCCATCCCAACACCATCTATCCTCTAAGGCCTAAAAACAAATCCTCACGTCCCTACAAACTTTCATAGGTTTCTGGTGATAGAAAACTTGTGTGTCTAGTTCAGTTTAGCCCTTATCATAACCCACCTTGCATTACTGATCTACATATCTGACTTCATCACTAGATGGAAAATGCCTAGAGGAAATAGATTGTGTCCTCTACATCTTTACACCTTTACACTCCAGAACAGTGTTGCTCAGTAGGTAAGACCAATGCCACTTTGGGTGTGATAATTCATTACGCAGAGTGTCCCAGGCCTTACAGTATATTTAGTTTATCTGCCTCCATCCACTAATTGACAGTAGCATCGCCATCTTTGGACAACCAAAAACCCAAATCCACATATTTCAAGTTCCCCTAAAAAGTGATATTGTCCCAAGTTGAGAAGGCTTACACTTTAACATTCAATTCAGCTAATGTCACCTATTTTTATTTCAGTACATAACTAACTAGTAAACTACCCACATGTCAAATCAGTAGATTTTCTTTATAGAAAACTCATTTGACAGCATGATAGATTTAAAATCTTAATCTGAAACCAATGCATTACCCAAAATACCACAGCATTCTGTGATAACAGTGAAGAAGAACTGGGATAAAACTCAAAAAATTGGAAACTTGAGGACTGGAGAGATTTAATGACTTGGGCAATGTCACGTAGATCATTAGAGGCAAAATTAAGAATAAATGTGCGAGGAGGCTGAGGCAGGAGAATTGCCTGAACCCAGGAGGCGGAGGTTGCGGTGAGCCGAGATCGCGCCATTGCACTCCAGCCTGGGTAACATGAGTGAAACTCCGTCTCAAAAAAAAATAAAATAAAATAAAATAAATAAACGTGCGATATCGTGACTCCCATACCTCTTTCTACTAGGCCACATTGCCTCATTTTGTTAAAAACCACATGATTCTTGATGATTTTTTAAATTATTATTTTTGAAGAGAGAATAACATTTACTGAGCAACTCTAATGAGCGAGCTAAAGACTTTCAGATACTATATCTAATTTAATATTGACAATAGGCCCAAAAGTTACCAATGAGAAAAAAAAAAAAAACAAGACTTGAAAATGATGTAAACATGTACACATAATCACAGAAAGACATGGCTAGAACCCACTGCAAGAATTTATAGAATTTCCACGCGATAGCCAAAATATTAACTTAAACTGAGAATTCTCAGTATTCTTCACTTAGTAATCATAGAGTTGCTATTAAGTTTTCATTATCTTTTCAAAACTAAAGAAGTTCCAATTCTACTTTCCTATTATAAGAAATTTTAATATCATCAATTATAACAGCTATTATAGGTTGTTTGCTTTTGGTTTTTTGCTTTTTCTCTTTACCTGGTGTAATAATAATGCTATTAGCTTCTCGAATCATGTCAATTGCATTGTCAAGGTTGATTTCCGTATGTGTGCCAGAAATTTCCATGGGTTTTCCACCAGCTGTTGAAGTGGTACCATAGCCTCCAAGAATCACATTAGCCAGGGAGCGATTCATTGCCTAGAGAGCCAAATTAGTAGCTGTGAGAGTTTAATCCACATAACTTTTTGAGAATGGTACAAATGTTGTGTATATGATATATGAAATCATTTTAAAAGGTTTATTTGATCATTTAAAACATTTTAATCAGATAAATTTCAGCTGGTTTCTGAAAATCACTTCAAAAATTTAAATGACAGAGATATCTGAGAACAACATTATTTTTTTCCCTATCAAATTAATTGCAAACGGATATATTTTCAGTGAAAAGTAAATAGAAACAAAAAACTTAATGAAAAGGTATAAGTAAAATTAATAAATTAATGAAAAATCATATCTACTTATTACTGTTTGAATACTGATTGAGCAATTTTATCTCTAAGCTGAATTCTGCTACAGATTCCATCTTCACAGAAACCAGCTGTGAAGAAGCAACTGGTAAGAATCAGAACAGTAAGGATCCATTTTGTCCAGAATTTTGCTCCCTCTGTCACCAAGAAAATAGAAATGTGGGGGTTGATACTGTCTTATTTTCCAAATCAATTTTAGCTCCATGAAGCCCCATACCTAAGTTTTAATAGAAGTAACTGGGTTCATCGCTAGGACTCTAAAATATTGCACTTCCAAGTAGGTAGAAGAATAAGGTGATATACTCTTTAAAATTTATACTCACTCTTTTAACTTAACTAGAAAAATAATCTCAAAAGGAAAATAAGAGACATGGACTTCTCATACTCATTTATCATCACTCAAGAACGTACCACAGGAATGCCACTGCTGAAATACGTGAAAATAACTGATCTGGTTTTGAAAACAGTTCATTTGTAGACCTCTGGAGGTGGGGTAGTAAGAGAAAAAGAAAAAAACTAGTTGTTCTAAGTAATCAAATGCACTGTAAGAATTCAAATCACTGCATGTGATCAAAACAGTTGTTCTATATGATCATAACTGACTTTATCCCTTCAGAAAAAAATTCCAAAAACTTATTAAACTCTATTTTAAATGTTGTAATAAATATATTATTGATCCATTACACCACTTAAAAGCTATATATGTCAGTATACTGCTTTTTTAAAAAATACAACACTTTGACCTAAGAATCATTAGTAAAAGGAGAAAAAAAAAATACAACACTTTAGTATTAAAAAAGCAAAAAGGCACCGAGATCTTCAATGATAAGTACCACACTGGGAAAACTATGGCCACCCCATACAATGATGGCCCAGCCTGTTACCAGCTTAGTGGAGACATGTCATTATGCTGAGTACGGCCCAGCCAAAAACAGGAAGGAAAAGGTACACAGAAGATGAGCAAGAAGCCATACTTTAATAAAGCCTATAAATAATGTAAATTTCAAAGATGATGAATCAAAGTGTTGTCAAAATTGTAATTGTTCTTTCAACCTAAACTCATTTATCAGACACAACATTGACATTTTACAGAGCCCAAAGTCTGACAAATTTGTCTGTATTGCAAACAAAATAAAGCCTGAAATGTCTTTACGTGTATTAACGGATAAAAGGGCGAAAGAATTAAACTAATGCCTTTTTGTTTTCTGAGATGGAGTCTCACTCTGTCACTCAGGCTGGAGTGCAGTAACATGATTTTGGCTTGCTACAAACTCCACCTCCTGGGTTCAGGCAGTTCTCCTGCCTCAGCTTCCTGAGTAACTGAGATTACAGATGCCCCCAAGCACATCCGGTTAATTTTTTATGTATTTGGTAGAGACGGGGTTTCACCAAGTTGGTCAGGCTGGTCTCAAACACCTGACCTCAAGTGATCTGCCTGACTCAGCCTCCCAAAGTGCTGGGATTACAGGAATGAGCCACTGCACCCAGCTAAAGTAATGCTTTTAATTAAGTTCACAGTCCCAAGCTGACATGAAGTTTTAAATTCCTATCACATTCCTCCCATATTTAAACCCAACTTTTAAGGAAAACCCAAATAGCCACATCTAAGACTTCCCAAACACTAAACTCATTGATCTAGATTAATACTTTCTAGTTTTTAATTACACAATTCTGAAATTGTTATCAAAATATATGTTCTACCAAATTTTTGCCCTTAAAAATTGATTTAAATGACTATTTTGGACATTAAGATATTTCTGTTATAGATAACTTTTTTTAAAAAAGTCCAATGGGTTCCATCACCTGTATCACACAGTCCTGCAGAAGACCACAGAGGGGAAGAAGCAGAGGGACAGAAGAGGGGGATAAATAAACCACTTTATTCTAACTCGGCTTAAAAGAAACCACTATTTCCTCCTATAAAACTGAATGAGGAAGAAGAAAAGAATCTCTGAGGACATTTAGTTAATGTGTACCCATTTCTGATGGCATCTTAGGGAGGAAAAACAAGGAACCACAGAATAGTTGAACAATCAAAGTCAACTTGTTAAACACATATCCACAATTCTATCACCATTAAGCTATAATAATAATTCCATGTGGTCTCTTAAAAACGAAAATAATTTCATCTCTAAATTTACCATTGCAACATCATATTTTCAACAAATGTTTAGGGTTTATGGTTTTGTTTTGTTTCTTTCTCTCTCCTTTTTTTTTTTTTTTGCCTTTTTAAATGGTTAATGAGACTATCCGACGACCGCTGATCCAGAGATTGAAGAGTTCCCAGCTACCATGACAAAGAATTTGCAACACTGCTTAAGACTGTTCCTTTTAAGCTATTAAGCCCAATAATTAAAATTGCATTCTACATTAAAGAGAACCTTAATTCACATAATTCTGAACACACTGTAAGAAATAAATCTGAAAACAAAGGAAAGGTTATAAAACAGACAAAGCCAAAGCACTAATAACATATTATCATTTCCTAGCATCTCTCATTTTAATGCTTTCTAGGTACTAATCAATCACAAAGGAAAAAACATTTTTGGTTTGGCTTTTGATCCACTTCCTTCTGTTCTATTTTTATTTGGAACCAAGCAGCAAAGTATAAAAATCAGAAAATTTGGTCTGAAAATGCTGTTCAATTTTTGTAAAACCTCCATTTCCCAGGCAATCTGGATGCTATCACAAACAAGGAAACTGTAAAATCATAAAGAGGTTAATGTCTATATAATAACTGGATATCATTGATTTGAGTTGGTTGTTTGGACAGTGTCAACATTTTTCAGTTTTTATAATATTGGGTATTGTGTAACCATAGCATTGAGCTCAGAGGACACCCAAAAGAATTCTTTGTCAAACAAAAATTCAATTTTAGGGCTACTAGTTAGACACTTGGGGGGCATTCCATTCTCTCGCACATAATAAAACCACTCTGTTCTGGTTTGGACTTGTGTGTTTCCTTCAATAAACAACAATGAAGGTCAACATACTGGTACCATATTAACTCTATTATATCTGCTACCATAACGTATCTGGAGATGATTCTAAAATATGAAACAAGCTAACAAATAAAATATTTATCTAATGTTTATTTAACAAACCAATTTGTGTGAATGTGCCAGGTACTTAGCCAAGCTCCACAAACATAAAGGTGAATAATAAATGGTGCCTTACGATACTTTCTCTGTAAAATGAGAATAACAATAATACCTCTAGAATTTCTGTGGTGATTAAATGAGCTGTATTTGTAAAGCACCCAGCATAATGCCTGCCATGTTGCACTAATGCCCAATTTTGAGTAGCTATTTTATTTTTATAATTTTTCTGATCTACCTAGAGCCGCTAAGCACAGCCATGAAGAGAATGAATTAAGTGTCCTATAATCTCCTATAATAAAGAAGCATAAAGAATCAATGAAGGTTAATGTAAAAAGTCAGAAATTGGAAAATTTGAGAAGAAAAGATAATTTCTATCTTCAAAATCAAAAAATATGACAGCCCTTGTCTTTGCTGGTTTCTGACTTGTTTTGTAACAATGCTTAGGAGTAGAGATTATACAGTAAAACAAACACATTGCACATCACAAGTAAGAGCTTTGGTGAATCCGTTGTGAAGATCAATTTAGCAATATCAAAGATCTTACTCCCTTTGACCATGTAATTGCACTTACAAAAACCAGAGCTAAGAAAATAAAGAGGTATAAGAAAAAATACTGCAACCAAAAAAAAAAAAAAAAACCAGTTAAAAACAACTAATATGAATTTGAATAAAGAGATTATGGTATATCTGTATGCTATAATGGTAGGTGCTAAAAATTATTATAAAATTAAACATTAATTAAATCTTAATTAAAATTAAGTTTAGACAATTACATAATATATTAAATAGAATGTATTTAAACATATGCATATAAAAAAGACTGGAATATTAACAGTCAAGTAGTAATGGAAGTTTAGGTAATTTTATTTTCTTATTTTTCCTTTTCTGTTTCTTCCAAATTTCCTATAGTAAACATCTCTAATTGAATTTTTTTTTTTTTTTTGAGACAGGGTCTCACACTGTCACCTAGTCTGCAGTGCAGCAGTACGATTACAGCTCACTGCAGCCTCAACCTCCCCATGTTCAGGTAATCCTCCTGCCTCTGCGCCCCCCTCTAAGTAGCTGGGACTGTAGGTGTGTACCAGTATGACCAACTAACTTTTGTATTTTTTGCAGAGACAGGGTTTTGTCATGTTTCCCAGGCTGGTCTTGAACTTCTGGGCTCAACTGATCTATCTGCCTTGGCCTCCCAAAGTACTGGAATTACAAGTATGAGTCACTGCACCTGGCCAAAATTTTTTTAATTAAAGCTTCAGCTGTTCTTGAATCCAAATTATTAATCTGATCCAATATATTTATGGCCTCAGGCAGCTATTGGAATAATTTGATAGATATATATACAGAATCGGAATACAAAATATCTATGGTATGCTGATGGTAAATGGCATGCCTGTGGCAGTAGAAATGGAAAGAAAAGAAAGAGAAGACCTAGAAAAAGATATCAAGAAATACAAAAGAGCAGGAAAAATAAGAGAAAAATTATATAATTGCAGAACGCATAGAAGATAGTACTTTCAACAAGTACCTCTTACTACCTTATTCTAGTTACTGTTAGAGACTATGTGTTACTGTAAGACTTACTATGTTTGCCATAACTAATAACAATAAAAGACAGCAAGTGAAGAAGGAAAAGAAGAGTAATAAGAAAGACACAAACAGAAATGTGGGGAATACTCTAGATAAATTTAAAAACCTAAAGAAAACCATTTTTTCCTTTTTAAGGATAATGTAAGAAATTACTCATGTTGACACTTCAAGAACTAGATACAAGTCTTCTTCCCTCCTCTCCCTGTATCAGTATGCCATTGGCTTTGTTAAAATCAAATCCTTCAAATTCTCCCATTTAACTTTAAAAGCCACTTTCTGACAAGCCACAAGTTTAAGAATACAGTAATGAAAATCTGCTGCCCCCTGCTGGTCATTCAAATTCATCAACTGAAGCAAAATCAAACTGTTAAAACTTCACTTATACAGAATACTGTATTTCTAGTAACACTGACTAAATATTTCTTCTTCACAAATGTTTCTTCTTTCTGTCACAAAGCCTGACACTTTTCAAATAGGATACATAAGTCTTCACCTTTCCAAATTCCCCAAGCAATTTAGGAGATTTAATTTTAAATTACTTGGCTTGTTTTGCATTTGGGCTATCAAATCCTTTGTTTTGCAATATAGCCAAAGAAGCAAAAATATTTTTTCTATGAAAAAATACTTCAGCCTTCAAAATTACAATGAGATTTTCAATTAAATTGTAAGAAAAATCCGGAGTTGTAAAATAAGGGAGTTTTTAAAATATTATAAACAGAATGAAGGTAGAGTAAGTATCTGATATGGTTTGGCTCTGGGTCCCTACCCAAATCTCATGTTGAATCGTAATCCCCACATGTCACGGGAGGGGACTAGTGAGAGGTGATGGATTATGGGGGCTGACTTCCCCCTTGCTGTTCTTGTGTTAGTGAGTTCTCACGAGATCTGGTGGTTTAAAAGTGTGTAGCACATCCCCCTTCACTCTCTTTCCTGCTCCACCATGACAAGACGTTCTTACTTCCCATTCACCTTCTGCCATGATTGTAAGTTTCCTGTGGCCTCCCAGTCATGCTTCCTGTTAAGCTTGTGAAGCTGTGAGTCAATTAAACCTCTTTTCTTTATAAATTACCCAATCTCAGGTAGTTCTTTAAAGCAGTGTGAGAATGGACTAATACAGTATCCCTTTCTTGTCTAAATTATTTATCAGTGTAAAATCACTTTCTGGTTTCACTTAGTTTCATACTTGTACTTTAGCAGTTATTTGAAAGTATTATTTAGAAATAACATCTATAATTTGAAAAAAATGTTCTAGTCAAACCTTTAATTGTAATATTTGCAGAGCATCTTCTTGCCATCAGGAAGAGAACTTCAAACAAACAAAAAAGCTAGGACATACTTGTGTTGTAACTTTTTTCTATTCTTTTTTGAAAATATCATCATGCTGATCACAAAACTTCTAAGGCAGGAACTCTCACAGATGACCAATGGAAGTGTAAATTAGAACAACCTTTCCAGAAACATGGCAATAAGTATAATGAGCCTATAAATTCTAGGAAATCTATCTTAAGACAAAAATCTGAAATGTCAAAGATATACTTAGGTACAAAGAGAAATCAAAATCAAACAACTTCACATGTATAGCATTAATGGGAAATTAATTTTGTATATTCATACGATGGATTAAGATATGATGGATATGACAGATTTAAGTCACTTAAAATAATATTTTAAAAGCATTTTTTAAATAAAGTTTCACTCGTTGCCCACGCTGAAGTGCAATGGCGCCATCTTGGCTCACTGCAATCTGCCCCTCCTTGGTTCAGGCAATACTCCTGCCTCAGCCTCCCAAGTAGCTCAGATTACAGGCACCTGCCACCACAACCAGCTAATTTTTGTATATTTAGTAGAGACAGGGTTTCATGATGTTGACCAGGCTGATCTTGAACTCCTGATCTCAGGCGATCCATCTGCTTCAGCCTCCCAAAGTGCTGGGATTACAGGGGTGAGCCACTGTGCCCAGCCTACAAGCATTTTTAATGAGAAAAAAGTCAACAATATAGTACATAACATTTTTTTAAATGTAAGACAATATATAATATGATCAGACAAGTAAATACACAGATATGCAATACATAAGGAAAAAAACGTGTTTATCTCCAGATGGAGAGAGGCATTAGAAGATTTTTATCTTTCTATTTAAATTTCCATCTTTACAGTTGGGTACCTTAAAAGCAGTCTTGAAAATTTATGCAAATGAAATACTCTGCTATTTCTGCTGAAGAGAATTCAAAGCTACCATACTCATTTCTATGGCTAATAAAAGAAATGACAAGTACATCCATGTTTTCAGAATGTCATTTCCTTTTCTTTCATATATGTGTTGTTTCTTACCACACACATGATGTATGACAGGATAGCACCAGATGAGCCTATGAGTGCACCCACGATGGTCAGCAGATTGTTATTGAGCAGAAAGCCTTCTGCACACAGGGCCCAGCCTGAGTAGCTGTTCAGCACAGTGATGACGACAGGCATGTCAGCACCCCCAATAGCAGCTGTCAAAGTCACACCCTAGAACAACAGTCAAAGCAGAACTCAAAATTAATAACATAAAAATAAAACCTTTGGCATTTAATATTTTGGTCCTTAATTATTCTGGCTTTCCCATTAATATATTTACATGTAAGTTCCACTTCTGGTAATAAGTGTCTCCCCTCTGACCAACACTCCCACAGGTATAACAACTATAAACACTGAGCCACCCACTCCCATAAAAAAAAAATCCCTACATTTTAAGAAAACACTTTCCGGTAATGAAAAGCAGACAGAAACTGGAGAGGGAATCTATACTTGGAAAAACACGATACTAAGTGAATTTCCCAGTTTTTATGGCTTTAGACTGAGGGCAAGCCCCCTGTTAGTACCAATTAAAGAAATTATAACTAAAATATAAGCCCATAGTCTTACTGGCATAAAGATCCTGAATATAGCATTTAAGATCACAAAGGCAGCTGGAAAGTAAAAAGGGAATCCCACAAAGGAGCAGGCTATAGAGAGGAAGTCCCAGTTTCTGTGTATAAACTCTACCCAAATCTCTGGATGACTCTTGAACTACGCATATGAGAGACAGACATCAACCAATCCTGTTAAGGATAAAATAACAAGAGATTTCAGCTGCCCCCTACCATAACAGAGTCAAAATTTGAAATTTGAGTTTAGCCATGTTAGCTGGTTACAAAAACACATACATAAAAAATAATAATTAATTCTCTTTGAAGGAATATAACATAATCCAAAATGTTTATAATGTATCATTAACAATGTCCATGATACAACTCAAAGTTACTAAACACAGGAAAGGAATAAAGGTGGTGGGAGAAAGTTTTTGCTTTTTATTTCACATATTTTTACTTTTTTTTGTTTGTTACAATGAGAGCATATTCATGTATTACTCATTTAAGCCAAAAGCAATAAATTTAAAAAATACTTTCTCTTAGTCAGACATTCTCAAAGAACCAATAAACACTTTACATATCATATTCACTGCTTCCCAAAAACAACAATTCTTAAAGTTTTTCATTTGTATACCTTTTTTTGTTGTTGTTTGAGGCAGGGTCTTGCTTTGTTGCCCAGGCTGGAGTGCAATGGTGCAATCTCAGCTCACTGCAACCTCCGCCTCCGGGGTTCAAGTGATTCTCCTGCCTCAGCCACCTGAGTAGCCAGGATTACAGGCGCGTGCCACCATGCCTTGCTAATTTTTGTATTTTTAGTAGAAATGGAGTTTCACCATGTTGGCCAGGCTATTCGCAAACTCCTGACCTCAGGTGATCCACCCACCTTGACCTCCCAAAGTGCTGGGATTACAGTCATGAGCCACCGCACCTGGCCACATTTGTATATCTTTTATGTTGAAACTTTGTTAACCTATTCTGCTTTATTAGATTAAAAATATCAAAACTATTTTTCTTTTGTTTAAAATAAAACAAATATCAGTGCTATATAAGCTAGAATAAAATTAGACCATGAGTGTTCATATAAAGATGAGATTTTAATTTGCTTTTCAGTGTTCTACAGTTTTTGTGTTGCAATCGTGACTTAACTCATGATCATACAAAAATAAATATCATTTTTACACTATAATTTTGGTGTTTCTGAATCAAGGAGCCAATAAGTATTTCATAAGCAATTGCTATTTATCTAACTTTGTGTTAGGCACCGCAGATTTAACTTAAATATAAATCTTGTCTACAGAGTACACACTGAAAGAACATGAATAACAGTGAATAACAGTATAACAGAGCTACATGAAACAGTATCATACATTGAAATAAGATGCCAGACTACCACATAGACAACTAAAAACTACCATATGTTTCAATATACTAAATGTAAAAATAATAGAGAAAGAGGAAGACTGAACCTATCATAAAAGGCTTCACTGAACTCTCTTACTGAGCATACAGGGTTTTTAAACTGCATTTCATTTTCTAATTATTTGATTTCATGTCATATCTTCCAAAGAATGTGAGAGCAACTAGTGGACAGAGACAATCTTACACATATTGTATAAACACTGAAGCACTACTTTGTAGGGCTTGTCACATAGTAGGCACCTAATAAATGAAACTGAAACCCTTGGCCTTTTAAAGCTCCTTTTCACCAACACATTGATCCAGTGAAGAGACTCCAGAGCAGTAAAGGTGTCGGATGTGACAACTTTGAAATGAACAATTAAATTGCAAGAAAGAATTATATTCTTCTTACACTTTTCTATGTTTTCCAGATTCCAAAAAAATGAACATGTGACATAATTTTAAAAACAGTTTTATTCTATCAAGGTTCTTGAAGAGATAAAAGTATGATTAGACTTTAATCTAACAAAATATTCCCAGTTCCTCACTAAGAATATACTTTTTAATCTCTGACTTCTTACCATGATAGCAGAGAGAGCAGACACAGAACCCAGACACATGATGCCAGTGGTAAAGCCTGGGTCCAACATGAATGGGATTATCCCGCCCACACTAGCAGCCAGCAAGCCTGCATTGAGTAGGTGCCTTCCAGGGAGTAGGAGAGGGGCAGATTTCAGGAGACCTAGAGCCAAGCACACAGTATTTAGAATTCAGAATGTGTTGTAAGAAACCCCCTCACACACACTCAAGTGTGTCTTTTAATCCTAAACTACCAAAATTTATTATTAGAATAACATGGTATTTAAAATATTACTTTATATTACCAGATATGAAACACAAAAGCAAATTAGAATTATTACACATAACAAACATGAATGGAGACAGAAAAACTATGGTTCGACTTCACTGTTCTTTTCCCTACTTTGATACCAAAACAATTTCTTTCCTCTTTATAATGAAATCTTAAAAAGTGATTTTCTCACGTATGATCAACATAGAAGTTGTTAAGTGAGGTTTTATTTATTTAAAACTTCATGCATGCCAGGCTTCTGACAAAACAAAAGCATAAAAAGTAAAAATAAATAAATAGAACTTCAATAGGAAGTCCTAGCACACTAGCATTTCTGATTTTATCAACTGAGCCCAAGAGGAAGAAACCTTGTTTGTTATTTGTTCCTAAAAGCAAAACATGAGGTAAGAATGTTTGAGATTGAAGTTATTTTATGATTTTCAAGTTTCATGGAAGTTCCCCACTTAATTTCCATGGCTTTATTACTCAGAGGCAAGGCCATGTTTTTAAATCACAAACTAGTCTCTCTAGAGACTTTTTAGTAACAACACTGACAACAGCCGCTGTAGGATTTTTTCTCCACTTCCATTTTCATGATTGACTTTGCCAGCAGCAAAGTTGTCAGGCTAGAGTCCTAAAACATGTTTTTTTTTTTTTTTTTAAATAAGTACTGTTTACTACTCACATACATTTATTTAATAAGCTTCTATTTTGGAAAATGTATAAAGTTCATTTCTGTGAATTCTACACAGCCATCTCTAACCATGGATTATGAGGATGCTATTTAGTTCACATGTATGATCAAAAGCCAACTAATCCCTCTATACAAATTTTTGTGCACTAATTTCCTCTATTAGCTGTCTGCAAATTAAACAGCTACAAAGCTTTATGAGACTTGTAAGTATCAATAAAGGAGAAGGATGGGGGGGAAAATTTTTTTACACTTTCTGAGTGCTATATGAATACTCTTCACCTAACAGTTTTTATTGTTAAGGTACTTTCTTTTTTCAATCTTTTTATTAATAATAATATTTTATTTTTTATAAAAAGCAGAGATAGGGTCTCACTATGTCCCCCAGGCTGGTCTTGAACTCCTGGGCTCAAGATCCTCCCACCTCAGCCTCCCAAAGTGCTGGGATTACAGGCATGAGCCATTGTGCTCCATCCTGTTAATGTATTTTCTGAAATTGAAATGGATCCCTAAATACCATAAACAATAGATATTTACCTCTACTGTATGTTATGCTGAATCACTTACCCTGCAATTTTCCATACGCAATGAGAGACCCACTAAAGGTGACGCCACCAATGTAAGTGCCGAGGTAAGCCACAATCTTGGTGAGATTTGCTGCTGCATCCGTAGCAAAATGTGGATATTCTATAATGTACTCAGCTATGCAAGTAAGTACAGCTGCCAAACCCACTAAACTGTGAAAAGCAGCAACTAATTGAGGTAAATCAGAAATCTGGATGCGTTTGGCAATTGTCAATCCTGTTATGAAATGAAGGTCAAAAGTAAATTAAAACTTGACAAACTTTTGAGGAGTAACCACAACAAAGATCACCCTTAAGGATTTCCATCACTGTCACCAATAAATATTATCTAGTTCCCAGTATGGGCTAAATATTCTCTATGGAGGCTGTACAGGAGGTAAGGACACTGATTGTATAGCGGTTGAGTATCCCTTATCTGATATGCTTGGGACCAGAAGTGTTTCAGATTTTAATTTTTTTTTTTTGAAGATTTTAATATACATGATAAGATATCTTGGGAATAGTACCCAGGTCTAAACATGAAATTCATTTATGTCTCATATACATACAGCCTGAAAGTAATTTTAAACAACATTTTAAATGATTCTGTGCGTGAAACAAAGTTTGCATTAAGTATTTACGTGTGGAATTCACCATTTGTAGTGTCATGTCAGCACTCAGAAAGTTTTAGATTTTGAAGCATTTTGAATTTTCAGATTAAAGATGCTCAACTTGCATACCCTTTCAAAACAACAGTTTTTCTCCACACACCTAAGCACGACCCAACTCCAATGAACCCAAACACAGAGCATCAATGCATGCCTCTTCCTCTCACAAACTCCCAACCTTCCCCAGCCAACATTTCTTCAGACTAACTAAAGCTCTAATTAAATTCCCTTATGTTCTCTGCATTACAACCCAGGCCTTCTTCTCTATAGCCAGCGCTTGCTCCTGAGCACGTTAGAAACACCTGGAACATGAAGATAACCTTGGTTTTCAGGTGGGTAGATGGGAGCAAATTCCCAAGGTAAAGAAATGCAAAAATCTGGGCGGTAAATACGCAAGGAGTGGAGATCAGAATATTTGCTAAGATCATGTCTAAAAGTTTTCCTGCCATGAATCTACAGTGCAAACATTTGCCTTCAAGTACCTTTCTAGAGATTATCAAGAGATGAGTCAAAGCTTTTCTGAGGAAGCATAAATGGAGGCCTAAAGCCAGTGTTGCACTGGGAAACAATAACCAGCTCCAGAAGGAAAACATATATGCACATGCAAATACATGAGGTTTAACGATATAAAGGTGGCTAGCACACAATTTTCAAATAATGAGATATACAGTGTTCTTTACTGAACTCCATAGGGATAAATTGACTTTCATAGAATGTTTTTATGGATCATTGCTAAACTCTTATATCTGTAGCCACCTAGTGTTTGCAACTGATGAATAAGCATACATCCAACAGAAACATTGTTTGATATTTTTATTTACTTTAATAAGATGAAAGGAAAACAACAGAATGTATGTAAGGATGTCACTCATCTGTTAGCCATGTGAGTAACTTCACTGCTGACTCTGATAATAGTTTTCAAATACTGGAAGATTATTTGCTCAATTCTTTGTGCTATTCACAATGTCAGAGCTACGGTCAAAGCACATTTAAAGTTTAAGCTGCATCATTAACATATTCTCCATCACTATCTCAGATCTGAACAATAAACAAAACAATAAATCAAGCCCACATTTATAGCATTTGCGTATATAATTCCATACTCCAATACTCCCACCAAGTTAAATTTCAATCTACCAATGTGCTATCATTGAATGTAGAACTGGGAGGAAATGTACCCACTGATATATAGCATTTCTTCTATACACATACAATAGATATAAGTAACCTCAAGAGCATAGATAATAAAACCTAGTAAATTAATTAGAAAGTTATGAGTTTTTAATATTATCTTTGTTTCTAATATGATTTATTTAATTTTAAGTTTATGTAATTTAATATTCAATAATGGCTGTGTTTAACAACCAGCTCTCAAAATTCCTGGAAAAAAAAAATTTCTTTTCAAAAAGAGTCTTGCTGTCACCTAGGCTGGAGTGCAGTGGCATGATCACGGCTCACTGCAACCTCCACATCCCGGATTCAAGTGATTCTCATGCCTCAGCCACCCAAGAAGCTGGGATTACAGTTGTACGCCACCATGCACAGCTAATTTTTTTGTATTTTTAGGAGAGATGGTTTCAGCATGTTGGCCAGCCTGGTTTCAAACTCCTGGCCTCAAGTGATCCACCCACCTAAGCCTCCCAAAGTGCTGGGATTACAGGTGTGAGCCACCATGTCTGGCCTAAAAATTTCTGAAAATTTAACAATCCAGCACAAAACTAAATAAAACAGTGGTGTTTCTGCTGGCACATGTTTTCTTCATTTTTAACAAGGCTGTGAAGCAGAATCTTCGGCTGTTATTGATACTCAGCAGAACAAAAGTTAGCCTATATATAGTACATGTATAAGGATTCCAATCCCCCATTCCATTATCAACTAACAGGACACAGCCAGTAAAATAAGAATTGGGTACAGGATATTTTGACTCATTTGATGCACTTACTCAGTGTTTTAAAATGTTTATACTTGAATGAGAATTACATGAACCGGGATGAAATTTCACCAAAATAATATTAACTGAAGCAACTTCCATGAATGCAATTTAATTATTTCATCAATATGGACCTTAGACAGAAATATATATTGAGAAACTGGAGTTCACAAAAAGGCTAAAGTCCACAAGTGCTTACCAATGGTACCACCCAAAGCCATCGCTCCAGACATCTGAGCTAGTAATTCTGGGCCCGGTTTTAGGACTCCGAGGGTGGCTGCCAGTCCTCCAGCAACCCCAATCATGCCCAATGCATTGCCAAGACGAGCTGTTCCCTGGGTGGAAAGCCCAGCCAAGGCACCAACACAGCACAAACCCGAGGCTAGGTACATAATCTTTTCAAAGGGAAAGGGAGGAGATAGAGAGATTACTAAAACCTTTGGTCTATTAGCTTAGAGAGTTCAATATATTTCCTACCCATTAGGAATATTACAATATTAAATACTTAAATTGTATCTGCAATTACATTGTTTATATAAATTGGTTTCTTCTGGATTTGATATCATGCACAAAAACACATAAAAGTACCTAAATGTAAATGGAGTTATCATTGGATCTAAAAATACTAAATCTGACCAAATGCTGTGAAAAAGCCAACCCCTGATGTAAGTGCCAGGGGCTGGGCCATGTGTTTTACTTTTAACAGTCTCATGAGATCCACAAGAGGGAAAAATCATTATCCTCATTTTGTAAAAGAGAGAATCAAGGCTTAAAGAAGTCATATATTTTCTCCAAGGCAAATTACCAGTAAATTGGAAATCTGGAATTCAGACTAAGGTCCTTCTGACTCACTGCTCCAACTCTTCTCAAAAAAAAAAAAATTTTTTTTCATTCAGTAAATATTCCATGTTGAAAACACAGAAGAAACTAAAAGACGGTCATTGAAAAGAAATAGAAAATGCGGAGTTCAGAACAAAGTTGAAGCTCTGTCATATTACAAGTTGGAACTTTCAAAGTCCAGCTGGATTATTTCTGTTTTTATATACAGCATTAAGTTTAAACTATCCTTTTTTTTAACGAATTGGCATCACATCTCTTGGTAGCAAGAGATGATATGCTGGATTTGTAGAGGAAGAAATAGGAAAATAACTAATAGTACCTAATAAAAAATGTTTCAAATTTTTTATTAATTGCTTCATTATAAATCCACAATCTAGCTAGGTACATAATGAAGATACTGATAACCTTCTTAACTCTTTTTTACATGTGGAAAAATGTATTGAAACAAAGACATAAACCCATATTTAAACTCAGTTACCAGAAAAATCTCTCTAGAATCCAGGGTCCTGTTCCTTAGGGGAAGAGAATGCTCGGTTTGACCAAGATGTTTCTAGGGTTATCGTTGTATTTGCTTGAAAGAGTTGTATTTGCTTGATAATTTAAATTAGGGTAACCTAACAATGTTAAATCTAATAGAGAAGAAAATATTGTGGTAAATATAAAAACTTTCGAATAGCCTCTTACCTGTTCAATGTCATAACCACTGTAGAGGGCAGCTAAATATCCACCAACAAAGATGCCAGCAGGGAGAAGATACAGGTAGTTGTATTCTGGGGGGTCAGTGGGACGCTTGAACATGTCCAGCATTCTCTGAGTCACCAGAAAGCCACCTTAGCAAAGCAAAAGGAATAAAAAATGTGAAGAGGTACCTCTTTGAGCTCACTGAGCAACATGATTTTTTAAAGTGCTATAATTTTTCTATTTTAAGCACATCTTTATCACCTAGGAATAAATATAAAGTAACATTTTGCAACCTCAAAAAAAATTGTTTTTTTGAGATGGAGTTCTCACTCCCAGGCTGGAATGCAGTGACATGATTTTGGCTCACGGCAATCTCCACCTCCCGGGTTCAAGCTATTCTCCTGCCTTAGCTTCCCGAGTAGCTGGGATTGCAAGCTCGTGCCGCCATGCTGCACTAATTTTTGTATTTTAAGTAGAGAGAGGTTTCACCATGTTGGCCAGGCTGGTCTCGAACTCCTGACCCCAGGTGATCCACCCACCTCGACCTCCCAAAGTGATGGGATCACAGGTGTGAGCCACCATACCCAGCCAAAATTTAAAGTTATTCTATTACGCAAGCCAGTTCCATTAAAGAGGTGAGGAAAAAAACACTAAATATATCCAGGAAGAAAATTTGCTATCGGAATGCAAAGCTATTTCTGTATGACTAAAAGAAAAAAGCCATTCAAAAAGCTTGGGAATGTGAAAGATCAAAGATTGTATTTTTTCTAGTAGGTTGTTACTTTTGTAAAAACCCTATAATAAATTATAAAAGAAAAAAATACCATATCAACAGTTACCAGGCTTCTTGGACACATTAAAGAATTTTTAGCTACAAAATAGCATCAAATGAGTCTCACACATGAGTGATGGGCTAGGCTTTCAGTTTCCAGGAACAAACACTGGCTGGGATAAGGCAAAAGACTAACATTTTATCGAATATTATACTCATTTATAGATGTTATGGTGATAGCGCTAACTCAACTTAATTCAAAGCCATGCATTCAATAACTTTCCAGTTAACTTGTAGCAAGACATCGTTTTGTTTGTTTTGGAGAACTGGGGCTTGTTCTTTTATCAAGAGTTTCTAAAAATTACAGATGGGCAAAATAACTAATTTTCCTGCACAAAGAGCATTTACGGTCTGAGTGAGACCTTTTTTAAAGGCTCAAATTCTTAAAATAAGAATGTCTATTTTATACTGATTTATATTTGCTTTGCATGTCTCCATTAAAAACAGTACTCTGAGGCCTTTCACTGACACTGTACCTGCAATGTTGACAGAGGATATGAATGTGGCAAGAGCAGCAAGGCCCTGAGAAGTTGTGGAAGGATACAAATGTCCTCCCATCAGTGCCAACCCACCAACTGCAGTCAGCCCTAGAAAGAAAGCATCGACATGGTGAATAATGATAGTGACACCACCAAATCCAATGTCATAGCTGAAGTACCTCACATACATAGATTCATAGAGGGCAAAGTTCTCAACATCAAAAAACAAGGCAGCTTCCTTATACCCTCATTAAAATGATACAAACAATTTTCCTTATGCAGACTGTTGACAACACGCCTTCACACCATTCTCACTCAAATTACTACTGTGGGCAAAGGGTTAACAAAACCTTTTCTCCTTCTGCATAGGAATTGGACTTTCCTTTAACTTTCTAGCTATATTCCTCTAATGCAGATAGGAATGCACCAATGTTATAGACAACACTGCTCATGGTTAAAAAGTGACCCAAGTAGGTAACTTGCATCTAAACTGGAAGAAACTCTTCATGAACTGTAAATGCCTGCTGGTGATGCCTAGCTTTGGATTTTCCTGGCTGCAGTACCTGTTGGAGTTAGATGTGTTCCCTGCAGAGATCCTGGAAGCTGTACCTATGGCAATGTCATAAAAGATGACTATTGGCCTTAAGGCTTTCAAGCCACCAGCTCCCATGCTTGTCATTCGCTCATATCTGAACAATTGTTAGGGGACAAAAAGAACAGATCCTGGGCTGTTGGGAGGAGGTCTTGACATGTGCGTGATGGAGTATATGTTGTTTACTGAGAGGCCATAGCAAGGAACGCCGAGCCATCCCTAGGCAGGAAACTGCTAGAATAAACAAGCAATACGTACTTGTCATGCACTAGTTAAACCTGCTCCCAAAACACAGGATATCTGACCTTGTCCCCATTGCTGATTCACAAAGAGTGTTTTGTAGCTTATTTCTATCTTAGTAGTGAACAGGTACTATCTGCCTGTTTAGCCTATCTTTATTCTATGAAGAAACACTGAGCACCTGCTTATTAAAAATAATCACTTGTTCACAAAGAATAAATACGTGGGTCAGAGTCTGCTCTGGGCTGTCAGCTGGGAAATGCTGGCAGACCCCTGACGATCCCACTTTGATCCCACTTTTGCACCCTATCTTTGTTTCTGTTACTTAATTCCTTCAGCACCGCCTGGGTTGGGGTCTCTATGACCAAGCTGGTCTCAGCACTGGGCAGCTGTGTGGACTGCTACATGAACTCTGAAAAGACTGGCACCAAAGAGAAATGCCTGATTCCACCTCACTGGAAAGCTGTGTTTTCTCGTCCCATAGCTTCATGGTGAACCTGGTGTAACACAGGGCCTACTGTAGCTTTGTTAGGCTGAATGTTGAGTTGAATCCAAGGACAGCCTATAGGATATTACAACTATGATTCTGTAGAATACCGGTTTTCACATTTTATCAGTGGAATCCCTTCCTTTAAAAAAAAAAAATCAAACTTGGAAGAAGTAATAGTGGTTCTGCACTACTTAAAATGAGAGCAGTCCAAAGAGCTGACACACTCCCACGGCCTCTTACTTTGCAGGCCCACATCCCATACCCTCTGGGAGTCTGGGAGCCCTTAGATCACCAAAGCAGATGCCTCGGATGCCAAGCAAAACAACTTGAAAACACAGACTTTATAAACCTCATTGACAGGCATCCTAGAGCTAAGTAAGCCTATGAAAAGCTGAGATGAGGAAGAACAAGAGAGGAACAAACCTGAGATTGCATTTGTCACAGACATCAGTGGTGAGTGGAGAGCAGGGGTCACTCCCCAGACGGTATGATAGCCCACAATGCCAGCCAAGCCAAAAGTGGTCACCATCTGAGAAAAGGCTAGATTGGGAGCAGCAATGCCCAAACCCAGTATCCCTGTGAGACCTAGAGAAAGAGGGTAAAGAGTGTGAGCTGACATCCAGTTATCCCAACAAGATTAAAAGCGTACACACAAATATGTGGAATAGTCAATGCTTTTAAATTTCACTCCCTTGCCAGCAATGAGCAGATTTTTTAGACATTTGACAGTTGAGAAGTGGGGGGATGCGGGAATACTGTAGACAAAACTCAACTTTCTGACCACCCCCCCACAGCAAAAATAAGCTATAAAGACCTAGCAATATTTATGAGTCACCTTAATAACAATTTGCACATTTTCCTCTGCGTGGTTTGTCCTCTTCCTGGCTGTAACTTTCATTGACTATGCCACATGTGTTTATACAAGCATTTTTTTTCCCGATTACAGGCCTATGGAAGACCTAGCAAGGTATTTTCTACTTGGGCAAGACAGAACTTTTATAAGACAAGAGTTTTATGAGGCCAATTTTATGTCACTCTCAGATTTGGCTGAGGAATAGGGGTTTTAAAAGAGTAGGAGGAATTTCATTCACTCCAGCACCTCCCCAAAACATATGGCTTCTACCCACCCAGGACACAAGTTTTGCAATTGCTTCTGAATCTGGACTGGACTGCTGGCCAGGGCAGTCAGCTCTAGCCTCAACTCCAAGCCAGCAAACAGGATTTTACAAAGAAAAGGAAAAAAAAATACAAATTAAGTTAAGAATGTGCAGAATACAAACAGCTCTGAACATACATCTTTAATTATCACCTTCCTTAATAGCAAACATGTGGACAGTTGTTCTGCAACAAAAGAAAGGGTTACCTCGTGGTCAGAAAAAAGAAAATGACAGTGGGTCACCGGGGAGCTAGAAGTTAACTTTCCTGAAGAAGGTACCTTTTTCCTTGGTATGAACTATTACTTTGGAAATGGCACCACTGGAATATCTAGAGAATGACATTAATTTTATGTTAAATCATTCAATATGACTGTAGTTTTAATTTATATTTTCCTACCCACATATCATATATCCAAGGTTCCAATGCATAGCCCATTAACCATGTGGTAAGAGAGTCAGATACAACACTGTTTTGCCTTCCAGGTAAAAATTAGAGAAGTGGTAGAGGGTTGTGAATAAGAATATGTTGTCTTAAGTCAGTCTGCCTGGTTTGAATCCTGGTTCCGCTGCTCCCTAGCTATGTCATCTCAGGCAACTTACTTAACCTCTCTGTGCTTCAGTGTCTTCATATGTAAAATTAACAACCCTCTCTGTCTTAATCTGGAAAAGAATATAATAATATACATACTTTGCTGAATTTTTGTAAAAAATAAATGAGCTAAGGCATGTGAAGTATTTAGCACAATGCCTAGGATTCACTAAATGCTAGCTATTATTAAGGTCATATTAGTCAAGAAGTACTATCTTATCTCAATCCACAATCCTTTGAGTTAGGCATCTATGATAGAAATTGTATCATACATCTGAAGGTTTTCTTATCAACTATTTAATAAACTGATGTCTTTTCTATAATATATTTAGTAATGTATATCAGACTATATTTCTATAGTCTGTATAATAGAGGAAGAGAAAGGCTGACAAAAGAAGGAAGAGAAAGCAAATCATATTCTTTGAAGAATGCTGTTCAAATACATTCCTAATATATATTTTTAAAATGCTTATTTTTAATATAAAAGAGGATGTTTAAGGTAAGGAAAAACACATACATATAAGGTCCTTTTATTCACTGGAATATGCTACTGTCATATATATTAAGAGGCAATATGCCCTGATTCAAGAAATATAAGAGAAATCTAGAAAAATAAATCATTATATGTGTGCCTCACTACATTTTCTGATGAATCTGAAAGAGAAATGGAAATTTACAATCCTACTCATAACACGCTCCATGCACAACACAATAACCTCATTTCTTTTTTTTTTTTTAACAAATGAGTGCAAGTAGGGACACTGCTTCATCTACTCACAGTATTCACAGCTAGAGGCTTTTTCAGTCATTTTGCTGAGACTTGCTTTTTATTCAAGGAGAGTTACATGTTTAGCTTTAAAACATCTGGCCTCACATGGGAATTTAAAGAATGCTGAGTCTACAAGAATTCTATGTGCCTGGTGCTGGTCCTTAATTCTTTATAGTTTGTGTTTGTTTTGTTTTTGTTTTGGCTCTGAATAGATCTAAACATTTTTAATTCATTCTTTGAGACAGAAACCAATTTAAAATCAAATATTCATATTTCAGCCTCTAACAATGAATAGTCAGGATGACTATTAATCACCACTTTACAATAAATTATTTAATGTTTTCGTGAGGATGAATTTAAAAACAAAGAATTTATGCCAAATTGTAAAGAAAGAGATCTAAATGAAAATATTGAATTCTTTTACAAGTTGAGTAACTTAAAATGTTAGTCAAATCTTCATGGGCTATAGCCTATATTGTAGTATATATTCTTTAAGGCAAACATTTGGTTCCCTAGTCTTACCCATGTGTAGATAATCACAGCTGATATTTTACCAAAAATAGAAAAAACACAAATTTATATGCATTTAACACCAGGAAAATAATGGCATACATCACTTCTCAATATATTTGATGTAGATAAAATAATCCCAGTGCTCTGGAGGCCAAGGCAGGAGGATCTCTTGAGCTCAGGAGTTCAAGAACAGCCTAGGCAACATGGTGAAGCCCCGTCTTTACAAAAAAAAAAAAAATACAAAAATTAGCTGGGCATGGTGGCATGCACCTGTAGTCCCAGCTACTCAGGAGGCTGAAGTGGGAAACTTCCTTCCTCAACCCCAGGAAGTTGAGGCTATGGTGAACCATATTCACACCACTGCACTGCTACCTGAACAATTAAGAAAGACTCTATCTCAAAAATACATATACACAATTGGTATATTTTTAACATATATAAATGACTGTATTTAAAATGTTTTCTGTAAAAGAAAAAATGTTTATTGCGGGCATATTATTTCATGCTTTCATTCCAGTATTTAGCACAGTGCATACATATACATAATAGGTATATTTTTAACATATATAAAAGACTGCATTTAAAATGTTTTCTATAAAAGGAAAAATGTTTATTGCCTGTATATTATTTCATGTTTTCATTCCAGTATTTAGCACAGTGCCTCTATTTATTGAGTCCAGTAAATAATCTCCAATTCTGTAGAAGTGGGACAAGTAACATGCTGCTGAAAAATCAAGTCTATCAGGCCCAATTACTAATGAAATCCAAAAAGAACAACAGCATTTCATTTACTAATTTTGACAATTAATATATTACTTGCAAAATCAAACAATCAAGACTAAACCCTGGTTAAATAGTATCCTCACCTGCTGTATATGCAGAAGCCGATGTCATTGTCTTCCTGAAGGGTGTAATGGTAGCTGCTTTTTCAGCTTCCAGCTCAGCCACTGTCTTCTGTTTTACTGGGGTACCCTGAGGAATATTTTTCGGTGTCGGAGCTGGGAAAATCACTTTACCATCCTAATAGATATTAGAAAATAGTATGTATTAAAAAGCCAATCCAGCATTTTAAAATTGCTTAAAATAGGTTACTATTTTTTAAAACCCTGTTCTTTTAAATATAATTTTATATTAATTCATATCATTTGTAACATCATTTTACATAAATGTGTCACATGTGTATATAAATACTAATATCCGTGTTACACATACATACATAAATATGTAATTTGTATGTGTATGAGACATATATGCAAGAATGCAAATCAAACCCTTAAAAGCAGATAAGTGGGGGAAATATTTAATTTTTACTTTAATCAATTTGTTTGTTCATTCTCCATTTTTCAAAAGCAGTGTACAGTTTTGGTAAGTCATGTACTTTTAAGTCTTTGAAATATTTTTCTTTAAATTATTCTGCATTTCAAAACATTTTCAAATATGTTTTATGCCAGCATAAACCTGGCATACCAATGCCTTATTAAAATATGTCTCAATTCTAAAATAGGATTCGCCCATAAACAAAATCCTAAAACAAATTTACATTAAAAGCACAGGAAGAAGTAGATCTCTTTACTTACCTTCATCACTACAGTTCCTCTAATGACATGACCCATCGTACCAAAGTCAAAGTCATCTTTCACATCAAAATAAAAATTATCTTTGTCCGGGCTGATGGCCTTCAGGAGTTTGGTGATGTTGTTGGAATATAGGGTGCTAGCCTGAGTGGCCATTCGGCTGGGTAGGTCTGTGTAGCCTATGTGAGTAATTCCCTAAATGAACAAAATTATAGTCAAAAAGGTCTACCACCCTATTCATTCTAGAACAATTCTCATTCATATTCAATGCTAAGTTTTCAAATTATGTATCTTTATAACCATACAGATATGCCCATAAACATAAATACATATTTCAAAAAGAGTGTTAAATATGCCTATTTTTAATTTTAAAATTTCAGGCCTCAATGGCTCTAAATATTTAAAGAAATAAACACCCCCTCATAAATCACTGAAGACATGAGAAGTGAACACAGATAGAAAATGCATTTTGCTGTACCTTATGAATATAGAGTTCTCCTGGCCTTGTGGTTTCAAAGTTTCCACCAGCCTCAGCAGCTAAATCCACAACAACTGAACCTTCCTTCATTGACTCAATCATTTCTTTATTAAATAAAACTGGAGCTTTTTTACCTAATAAAATCGAAGAAAACAGCACAAGATATATTATCATTTTCTAAAGCCTTAAAGTCTAATTACTACAGTAGTCTCTGGGCATTCAGGAATTATACATCTGAAATTTTAACTCTCTCTTGGAAAGACCGTAGCATGAATGAGACTGGGCATTCTCCTAAGGAAAAGAATATGATAAGCATGAGCTGCAAAGGCAGTGTGCAGGAGGGAGCCATGTGGCTGGCAAGCAGGCCCTGCCATCTGCTCAGCATGAGAATCTCAGCACTGCTCTCTCTACCTGGTTTATACACCACAGCTTTCACAAAGAGTTAAACGGTTTGAGTGTTTTAAAAAAAAAATCACAATAATAAACCACTGTGGAAACTATATCAACCCAACTGAACAATTCATAAAGGTCACCAATGTCAAGGGTACAGTTAATTTATGAATTACAAAATAGAATCTTGCCAATTATCTTAACGTATGTCACCAGATTTTCTGACACATCATATTAACCTACCATTATTTAACACAGAAAACTTTGAGGAGAGACCGGAAAATGCCAAGAGATCAAAACAGTGGAAACCTACAACTCCAAAAGATTTAGGAGTCCCTCATACACTTATTCCCACTCAACAACTATGTACTGGTGTCTATAGTGAGTCAAGCCCTAGCTATGCCTGGTTCTAGGAATACAGTGGTAGATAAACAGAAAAAGTACCTGTTCTCGTGGTGTGCATTCTCCTCACTTAATAGTTCACATTTTTAATTCACAATGTGTTTTTTAGAAGTTCACTAATTCTTACATAGAAGATGAAACCCCAGACCTTAGGACTTTTCAAGCTAATATACATCAATATGTTCAACAGAGGCTCATACTGTCAGCATGCTATCATGTTCACATTTCATAAAACAATGGAAATACCTAAATCAAAAGATGAACTTGTGAGATTAGTAGTGTTAAAGTACAGTACAGCCAGGTGCAGTGGCTCATGCCTATAATCCCAACAATTTGAGGGGCTGAGATAGGGAGGATCACTTGAGCACAGGAGTTCCAAACCAGCTAGGGCTACATAGCAAGACCTCATCTCTACAAAAATAAAAAAAACTTAGCTGGACATGGTAGCACATGCCTATAATCCTAACTACCCAGGAGGCTGAGACAGGAGGATCACTAGAGCCCCAGAGCTCAAGGATGCAGTGAACTATTCTCACGCCACGGCACTCCAGCCTGGATAACAGAGTGAGACTACATCTCTTAAGAAAAAATTTTTTTATAAAAAGAAACCAGAGTATTAATAGCCTGATAAGCTCCTCTTTTCAAAGCTTTTAATTCTGTGCTTACAGAATTTTAGTAAAAATACTGCCAATATTATAAATGAAAGCTGAGTAAAAATAAAATGTACCTTATACTAAAATGCTTTTCAGTCCTCTTGACTAGAATACATATGATTCAAAAAGGAAAGATAACCTTTGTAGTACATGTGGAAATAAAAGGTTGTGAAGATATGAGTGAAGTGTTTATTTCTGCTATAAACTTTATAGTTTCGAGATAAAATCCAAATCCTATGGCTCCTGAGACTGAATGTCTCTCACCCTGGGTGAAGTGTTTTCTCTAACATGCCCTTTCGAAACTGTACCAATGGACCTTCTATTCCAGCCACACTGGGCTCGCTGCCATATGATTTGTTAGAAGATATCTGATTCTTTTTTTTTGAGTTTCCAATAAAGAGCATCAAGAGACATTTTCCCCAGAGACAATATCCTGAAGCGCTGGTAGTTTCACCACTTCTCAAAATTCTCTGAAAGTATTCCTTTCCTCTACCCTCCCTACTGTAATCTAACAAAGGCACCTTGAATACTTAACTAAACTTTACCCAACCATGAGAATTTGAGGAAGCAAACCACATCCATCTGAGGACTCTTCCCAAAAAAAAAAAAAAAAGGTCATGCTGCTCAGCTCTCCAGTGATTTAAAGCTATGGATCATATGGCTGCCTCCACATAAAGAGGCACATTTAAAGGGCAATCTGTACTTTCCAAGTATTTGCTGTCATCACCATCCCCACTCTCTGGTCCAGAGCCTCGTCCCCATTTACCAGCCTCTTGTTAACCACAGTTTCTCCTCCCACCTTATTTGCACCCAACTTTGGCCAATGATTGCACACATTTTATTTGGCATCTAACTTATTTTTCCTGCCCTAGATATTTGGGATTCATTCTTTCTCCTGAGACAGCCATAGCTAAGAATGAGTCCCTGAACTATATGCTACCACTTTGCCAGACATCAAGTGGCCAAAGCCATTTTAGGCTCCCTAGAAATGTCAAAATATACAACCCATTTGTCTCCTCTCATTTTTCACATTCAACCTCCACAAAACAACTGCGCAGTGGCTAACACAACTTTGAAAAACAGACATACAGGTTTGCATTTTAACAGAGATTGGTTGGGTGTTTTTTCCCCATTATTGCTCAGAAATTCAATCACTTTTAAAACAATAACATATTCTTTCACATAGGTTAATTTATTTGGTATACAGACTAAAGGATATCCCTATAACAAATTTAAAATTTTACTTAAATCGCACAAAAATATTTAAAGACATGGAATTATTATAAGTAAAATGCACATAACAAAATAGTACGTAAGTTTAGACATATTTATATACATGAGTGTTTCTCAGTTATATATACATAGATTAATATTATATAATATAGTACATTACATATATATACAGCTTGTAGTAAATTCTGTATCATATAACATTTAACAAAACCAGGGTATATTTGAGTGATGAGGCCATTTTCTTCTCTGTGCTTTTCCTTATCTCCCAAATGTTTTAATTTTAAAATTAAAAAAATTTAATAAGGGCTACAGGGAATACAATGATGAATGTAACAGTGCAGCTGCCTTCAAGCACTCACATGTGGATATATTTTTTGAAAATTCTGGAAAGTGCAGAAATAGAAATTAAAAACAGAAGGGAAAAAAATAAAGCCAAAAAAGAAGCAGGGTAGTAAATAAAAGCTCCAGATGAGCAAAACCTCAAAAGAATAAGTCCAGAGAGAGAAAGACTGAGAAGACAATTTCAAAATACCATCTTACCCTGATAGCCTAATATAATAAAATTTAATGCATAATAAATACAGCATTACACAACGAAGAACAAAAGTCATAAGATGATTAGTTAGATATCTGGGTAAAAAATATCTACCCAAACCTAATACTATATGTTAAACTCTAGAAAGATAAGAATTAATTGTAAAAGAAGAGAATTAATCCATAAAGTGCAAGAAAAGAGGAAAAAGGAAACCCTGGTGAATGTGTCTCCAGTCTGTGGTTAAAAAAAGCACTTCCTAAGCTTAAAGCAATGAAGAAAATTACAAAAGAAAACATCAATAGATTTAAATATGAAAAATATATATATTACAATTTTCAAAACAGACACAAATTGATGAAAAGCTCACAGAAATTCAAGCAAAAACAAAACACTATAATCCTATAGATAAGTGAACAATAAATACAAATGGAAAATTCAACAAAAACCAGTAAAAACCAACAAAAAATGTTAACTGTTAGTATGATGCAGAGAGATCACAGGTGATTTTATTTTCTACTTTGTACTTTACAGCACCTCTAATAAAAGCCACATATCATTTTTATTTTAAAAATAAAATAAAATACTCCTGGATAATCACAACCAGTTTCTCCTTTAAGTCAAGAAGTAATGGTTTAAGAGTTGGTAGCAGGAACACTAGAAGAACTTAGAAATACTCCACCCTACTAACTTGTTAATTGAAAAGCCTGACTCAAAGTCTTCTGCCCACCCTTCTACAACAAATGAAGCTATGCAGTTAGGACAGTCTTTCAAGGAGTGTACCAAAACACCAAGAAAGGGAGACACAGGTATAACTAAACAGGAAGGTATGTCCAGATTTTTTACATGTATAACATGGAAATGAATATATCCAATGTGTACTGCAAATCCTTCAAATATACAGACATGCCCTCTACACCCCAGAGACAACTTGTTGAAAGACCTAGATATAAAAGACAAAATAAACACATCATTCTGACAAAGACTTATAGAAGAGAAAATAATAATAAGCACATCAGGTGTTTTGGGACATAACTGCAGAAGAAACAGGAAAATTAATAAAAGAAGGCAGATGAGAGGTATTTTTTAAGGCCCAATTGGGCTTTTCCTCGTTTTGAAGTTTATTTCTATTAATTTCATCATTTATCTGCAAAAGATACACAAAAAGATAATTATATTTCCTAAAACCAGCCCCCTTAAAAAAATCAATCACCATGACAGAATAAAAGTAACAAGGAGAGAAATTTTTAAGAAATATTTTCTGGCACAAAACCGACAGTGGGTGAAGGATTTGGCATGATATCCAACTGTGTGAAATATTTCTTGCTCCCTTCTGGCTCATGGACATTAAGTTCCCCTGGAAGGGTTACTCAGTTTCCTCTCAGTGGGAGTTATTTCCACACTTTTGCCAAGACAATTGTAGGACATCAAGCTCTCACTGTCATCATTCAAATATTCATTCATTCATTGACATAACTAATACTTACTTAGTGTCTCCCATGTGGAGGGTGGATGAAGAGAGAAAAATGTTACTTAGAGCTCTAGGGCCTAATATTTTACAACTGAAAGTGACTGCATTCAAAGGTTGGTCAACAATTTCATTACTAAAAGAGTTGGGTATTTAAAGCACTCATGTACAAATTTGAATTATAGTTTCCCGATTGGTTGGCAGTTACCTGGAGTGAGTAAGGGTACCACAGATTAGTGTAAGGCATCCTTGAATCTCCATGTGCACTATGAATTGACTGTAGACTGAAAAAAAAAATGCCTCATGCATGTGTACTGTTTCTTGATATATGCACATATGTCTGTGATTCACGTAAATTCATTTTTAAATGTTATTGGATTCGTAGTATCTTTTGCTAACCACGTATTTTCTCAATAAATGAATACTAAGATGCAGTTTTAAAAGTATTAAAATGAG